CTGTTGAAAGCTCTGCGCACAGTAGGAGATAACTTCCATGCTTTAGCATTGCTGGTTGTAGCCATGTTGGTCTAAGGACATAGGCAGGCAAGGGTCTTTGGGTAAATGTGATATCTTTTATTAGACCAGCTAAATAGTAGGGCTGTGTGAAGCTTTGGGTGCTGATTCAATTTGGAGGAGATTCGTCCTGATTCGATGGCTGAATTTCCAAATCTGAATTGAATCAGGGGACCAATTAAAATGTCTAAATAGATTTGAAGCTCTCCGAATTGTTAGGAAAGATTCGGAGAGCTTTGCTGATTCAGGCAGTCCCTGCCCACTGCAGCAGGGAGCTGGAGCTGGACTCAGAGCTATTAAGCAGGGGGCAGAGGAGAGGAGAGGATACCATGGGGGGACCCCCGCCAGGCCCCATCTCCTGCCTGCTACCCCAGCCCCCCCGACCTCCGCCTGCTCCCCCACCTGACCCAGCTTTCGGTGATTTAAAAAAAAGCCCTGACTTACCAGGTACAGCTGGGTGGAGGGGTGATCCCCACTGCACCCCACCTCCCCATGCTGTGTGGGGGGGCTCTATGCGAGCCCCCCATCCCCTCTCCCAGCCCTCCCATGGCTGCCATGCCTGCCCCAGCTCCATCCCTTTAAGAACCCTCCCCTCAAAAAAAAACCTCTGGACTCACCAGCTCCTCAGCAGCCTCAGGGCTTTGTGGGGGCTCGTGCAAAGCCAATCATGTAGCGCGGGGCAGTGGTGGGCAGCAGGGATTGCCCCCTGCCAGGCAGGAACAGGTGAGTTTGGGGTTTTGGGTTTGTTTTTTTCCCTTAAAGGGCTGGAGCTGGAGGAGGCAAGGCAGCCATGGGGAGGGGGCTAGGACAGCAGGGGGGTGTCAAGGGGCTCATGGCAGACCCCCCCTCCCACGCAGCGTGGGGCAGTGGGGGGCAGCGGGGATCTCCCCCCTGCCCAGTAACACCTTTTGAGTTGGGGCTTTTTTTTTTTTCAAAGAGCCAGGAGCTGGGGCGGACGGGGCAGCCATTGCCCGGCTGGGAGGGCAGGCGGCGGATGGGGCTGTGTGATTCAGAGATTTGGCAGCAACCAAATCGCCAAATCAGATTCAGCTGAATCAGTTCGGGACAGTGATCTGAATCACCGAATCGAGTCACTGTCCCCTGAATCAACCGAATCCAAAGCAAATACTAGCCACTTTGCACAGGCCTGCTAAATAGTTGGAAAAATTGTTCGTTGCAAGCTTTCAGGCACAAACACCCTTCTCAGGCATAAGGAGAGTCTGCTGGTGTTTTGTGTGCCCTCCTGGTATTTTACCAGCTACAGTCTGTTACCAGCTCAACATTCCCGCTTTCCCCTCCACCTACCTGTCTCATACCTGTTGTCTCCCATTCCCTCTGATCCTCACTGCCACACATTTGCATTTCACTTATTGGCTTCCACCCAGGAGAGCACACACAACACCTGGAGACTCGAGTAACTTCCCAGGGGTTTGAAATCTTCATTTGAGATTACCAGGAGTGGGGTACCTTGGTGCTTAAACCCTGCTTAATGTGCTGTTGCCTGCATGCCAGTGATCTCAGTAGGACTGTCTTCTGTATATAATTCCCAACCAAATAGCCCACCCTAAAAGGAGATGTATATTTTTGAATTATAGGGACATATTTTGAGGTCTCTTGTTAATAATTTGGAAGCACTTTGTTAGTCCCTCCTTTTTTTTATATTTATTTCAAATAAGGAGGCTTGCTCAGACTGCTTAGGTGCATAGAATTTTTTTTCTATCTATGAAAGAAAACTTGCATTGATGGAATTTGTCTTCATCTTCCACAGACTAAAGATTTTTTTTTTTTTATTTTATAGCCAGTGGGCCATTTCAAAGTCTTCAGCTCTGTGTGGAGTTGGGCAGGCAAGGTTTGTGTAGGATTTGTTTTTTTTATGTTTTGCTTCCAAGAAAAGAATAAGAAACTTGCAGAGAAGTTTCTGCCCTGGTTCCAGAAGAGGGCCCAGCCCTGAAAAATTAATTCTCTCAGTTCTCCTGGAAAGCTACTGTGGTTGCATTCTTATCTGCTGTGGCCTCATCACTAAGCCAAAGATGGAAGCCAAAAGACAAATGTCAATTTAACAGATGCGAGAGAGTGAATATTCTTCATTTGGCACATCTACCATTCGCAGTTATGGCCCTAAAGTTGTTTCTTCCATCTCCAAATCCATCAAGATGGCGATAAACCCATATGTGAATATTTTGAACTTGTCATGGTGATATTTCATTTTTAAATGAGCCTTGGCAATGGTTGAGCTGGAAGTCAGTCATCATTTGATGTATTTACGACTGCTTCATGTGTTGATGAAAGGTTTTCAGGTTATTCAGGTATTTGAGATGTTCAGTGTCCTTCAGTTATGCTTCTGAGTTTGGAATACAGCCTTTTGGGCAGAAGCCAGTACAGGAGACCCTTGCCATTCGTCGGGGATCTGTTCTGAAGATATCTGAATATCAGACCCTCGTCAGACCCCACAGCCGCCCCCTGCTTTCCCCCCACCTCCCCCCCCACCACGAGAGGCTGGAAGCATGGGGCTCCCCTGCAGTGCCTGAGGACTGACCACAGCTGCGTCCGGGGGAGAAGAGGTCGTTGCCACCGCCTCGCTCCCTGTTTCCAGTGCTCATTCTCCGTCTGCCCGGCTCTGCCCTCCACCTGCCTGGCTCTGCTCTGGGCTCCACTTTCCCTGGCTCTGCCCTCCACCCTGTGCAGTGCTCCATGTCTGGCTTAACTGCAGAGGCAGGAGCTTGGTGCAGCGCCAGAGGGAGCAGCAGTGGCACTTGCCCAGACCCACCCAGTTGGCACAGTGCACCACAAATATTCAAATCTCTGAATAGCTAGGGTTTCCTGTATGTTCTTCTAGATATGACTGATTGATGTGTGTGTTAGTATTGCTCAAGAAATGTCTATTTTGCGTAGTGACCGTGTGCCTTTTTTTGGGATGGGGAGGAATAACTGTTCTTTTTATCAACTTTATTTGGTATGAAGGTTAGGTGGAATGCTAGTGGGATCTTCTTAAGATCTGGGGTATAATGATGTCCATTTTTAGCTGTGCTAGTTATACTGTCTCCCTGCCAACCTTGTGGTGTTTTGTGTGTCCCAAAGAGGTATCTGCAGAGAGAGCAGATGCATGTTGGTATTTCTTAATTTGTTTTTTCCATCTTAATTGCTAAATGAGTTGCAGCAAAGTCCTAGGGCAGTGGTTTTCAAATGGTGTGTGAATGCCTACGGGGTTCATAGCACTTGGTCAAGGGGTACATGCCTAAATTTTAATAATGGCTGTGGAGCTTCTGATTGGTTAGTAATGGCATTGCCACCTGTTGATGTCAGTGTCAACACTCTTCCTAAGGAATGAACACAAAGATGCACTGGATGTAGTAGCTGCAAGCAGCAATATTTTGCAAATAAAGGGGTACAAGGAAAAAAAATGGAAAAGCCATGCTTCTTTTGGTGGCTGTCTGGTGGTACGCTTGTAGGTATAATAGTACTGGAAGAGAGGAGGGATGAGGCAGAGGCTAGGAGGGTCTCCTCTTTGAGGAGGGAAAGGAGGGATTGTGAAAATAAGCAAGATAAGCAACAGAGGAAAAAATGCCACATTTTATCCTTATCCTGCCAACACATCTTGCTAGTAGCAGCAAAGTTGTGGCCATCTTCCTCTTACCCAGATTGTCTTTGGTATAGCTAAGCTTTTTAAAACCAACTGCTAAATATTTAGAAAAAGACTAGGTGGACAATTACTGTGGGTGATGTGAGAGAGTATAGTAAGGAATAACTGAATAAATTTAAGAAAAGTAAAATGGGATTTGTGCAGGGAAATTATAAAAAATCAAACAAACAAAAATCCCCCACTACCTTTCTGATTTAAAAAAAAAAAAAAAGATCTGTTGGATCATGACATTTATCTCCGGAGGAAAGTGGTAAAAGGCTTGATTGCCTGAGACATTTAAAACCCGACTAGGCAAAGCACAAGGAAATTTGTTGTAGATAACAAGCCCACAAAGACTAAGGGGATGAGCTAGGTAATGTGGTAAGGTTTGTTTCTTCCCTTCATCTTCAGTATGTGATTCTCCAGAAGATCCTGTTCCTGTCATTCTGCATTTCCAAAGTGTATGCAGCACTGCTTAGTGACAGTATATGTATGAGAAAGCAGGAGGGGTTTGTGCCATGTGCTTTTAGGGGAGGGATGGGTTGTTCCCTTAGGAAAAGGAGTTGCATTACTGGTAGAGAGGCTGCAGTATGTATGTGCTTGATAGCTGACATTTAGAGCAGTAGCAGTATTTAAACTTTCCATCCTCCGATGCACAGTGAACATGAATTTTTCCTCATTGGTGAAGCCCTTTGAGAATATATGCATGTAGGAACGCATTGCTGGGCTGCGCTCCATGCTTTTGAATAAATAATGGTTAGAGAGTTAAAGAGAAATTCAGCATCGTGTAGAAAATGTAATAGATACTTTTTCAGATAGCAGTGATGCATCTGGCAACTGGGTAAAATGGCTGTGGCTTCGAATATTTATGGATCTGAACATTTTTGCACAACAGTGCAGAAATATAGGAAAATATTTTAGATGTACCATGGGAGGAGGGTATCCTCTTGCCTTGGTAGTAATGGCCAGTTTGTGGTGTTGTCATCTGACTGCGTACTGCTGCAGCAGCAGAAAAAAATGTTTAATTAAATTATAAAGGCAAATAAACAGGTGCAAATTGATACAAATGACCTCATGAAAGGCTTCCTTCCTTTTCCTCCTACGGTGTTTATCCACAAAATGCCACTGTTCTATGCAGTCTATTTCATGGAGTCTCCAAATTAAACTGAATCTATTTCTATGGTTCAGCAGTTATACTTGAGGGTTGCTTTTTTTCCTTAGCATTTCTTTCTCTTTTTTTCCCCTCTGGAACCAGGAAAGCTTTTCAATTAACTTGACTTAAAATGAGCGCTGTCTCTAACTTTGCAACATGTGGTTGTTTCTCTTCCAGTGGAGGCGATAGTGGAATTTGACTACAAGGCTCAGCATGATGATGAGCTGACAATTGCAGTAGGTGATATAATCACCAATATCAGAAAGGAGGATGGAGGCTGGTGGGAAGGACAGCTCAAAGGCAGAAGAGGTTTGTTCCCTGACAACTTTGTAAGAGTGAGTACAAAGTGAAACTGTTCTTGTGTCTTTGTGCATATTTTGTGTATTGTACTTGTTGTCTTGAATTGTCATCTCATGAAAAAATATCTTGATATCACTGCTTTTTATACTTTTTTAGTGTGTTATATTACAAAGTAGAGAATACGTATGTCTGTAGAGTGTGGCTGTGAATCACTTAAAAAAAAATTCATGCACCCTCTTTCCCTCTTCTCCAGTTGCTGTTTACAGCCCTGTGGTCTAAAAGCAAAAATATCTCACCACAAATCTATTCTCCAAAACAGAGTTTCCTCTCTACCTCATAGGTGTGTGATATTTTCTCTGCCATGCAGTATTTATTTCTGTCCAGAGTCCAGTGTGGGGGTGGCTTAAACTTTGCGAGCACAGATAGGTTTGGGATAGATTTGTTATTCACAGATAGGGAAGCCACAAATGAGTTCAGTAGTCATATCCAAACAAGTGGTTGTAAAATCTTTATGCCTCACCATGGCTTAATTTTCATGTATATGCCAAATACTTTTATATAAATAATGTTTTTGCAAAAGTTTTAGAGAGGTTTTAATATTTTTGGACTCTTTTTTCTGTTCCTGTAAGAGCTTGGAACGTTTAAGTAGGCACTTGTACAGAGTGTGCTTGGTTTACTGGTCCTTTGTAGATGTTGATGCAGATTTAGGATAGTATTTACAGTGAATGCAGTGAAGTAGTAGATACAAAAGGCTGCTTAGGTGGGGTCTACATCGAGTGATGTACTATCCGTCTGACGCAGGAGCCCGTCCCTCAACTCGTCTGCCACGACTTGGTGTTATTGAATGAAAGGCAGGTGTTCAGCGGAGATCTTCTTCCTGGGGGACCCCAGGGACAGTAGTACTCACTGTCTGGGTGCGATATTCCGTGGGGCTCCGCCTCCCCTACACCCCGTACACTTGCAAACTGGATGGGTGCCACCTGCATGGTTTGATCGTGCTCAGTTGACCCCCTTCACCGGGGGGAATCGGTGTCAGTGTGGGTCCTGGTGGGATTATCCTGGCTGACCCAACGGCTAGCATCTCTGCCTCGGATGCTGACGGGCTAGGCTTAGGTAAACTGGCGTCCTCTTTGACTCCTCTGGACAGATGCCTCTAATTTGTTCTTTTACTTAAAAGGGCTACTGGAGAGAAGAGGGGTGTGGGATTCCCTCCTCCCTCCCAGCTTTCTACAGGGGCTCAACTTCCCCTTGCACAGGATGCTGGCTCCAAGCCAGCTGCACTACTTCTGCCTGCCGGAGCAAGAGCCTCAGCATGTCTGGCATGCTCCACGCTGACGTGCTACCTCACTCCCCTCCTCCCGGGTCTCAGTAGGGATTTTAAATCTTCCTGCGGTAGCCAGAACAGGTGCCGTGATTGGTTCAGCTTTTCCCCATCCAGGGAACAGCTGATTAAACAGCCAGTGTAATGCCAGCTTGCGCGGCTGCAGCTGCAGCTCCTGCTCCGACTCCGGCTGCATTCCTGGAGATAAGTTTCCTCAGCGGGAGGGGCTGTTTGTGCGTCTTGGGGCCCACGGGGACTGCCCACTCCCCTTCGGGAGCCTGTGGGGGCGCCTCACCACCACACAAAGGTATACATTTTTTGTTTTCTAGCTGTGCACATGAGCACAGTATTAGACATTAAGTGCATAAATCAGTGGTTACTGGTGCAGTATTTATCTTTTCTTATCAGCCTTTCTTGTCGCAATGTAAATTTGAGGTATTGGGAACACCTACATTTGGACGTTAAGTTTAGGAGCGGAAATAGTGTGCATTGCTTTACTTGTATATAGCTAGGCTTTTTGAAGCTGCTTCAATTTTCCTGAAAAGTTTTTAACTCTATTAAACCTAAAAAAAGTTTCACGGGAGAAAGGAAAGACTCTTCTCTAGGCTTTCTCCTTGCTTATTTCCAAAGACCTGTTATATGCAATGGCAATATCAGGTTTAGCTTTCCAATTAAAGGTTGCCAGACTATTTCATAATGTTTAACTGCAGTATAGGACTTGCTGCTGGTTCTTCCTATGCTGCGTTGGTTAAGTACATCATATACTTTGTAAATTTTCAAAAAACTACAAGTATTTAGTCAAATGATTTATAATTTGAACACTTTTTCCTCAGTAAAAAAACTAAGGCCAGGAAAACATTACAATTCTACGTTTATATAATGTTCCAGTTATTGCTTGAATTGGCATCTAAAACTTCTCAAAAGAACTAAAAACTGCATTTCATGCTTTTACATCAGAGCTAGCCTCAAGACTGAGCCAGACCTATCATAGGGTCGGAAGGGACCTTGTAGATCTTCAAGTCTGGCCCCCTGCCTGGGCAGCAGAAAAAACTGGGCTCAAATGATCCCAGCACCACCTCCCTTGGAAGTTGGTTCCAGATCCTAGCCGTCCTAACTGTGAAGTAGTTCTTACGGATGTCTAATCTAAACTTACTCTCCAACAACTTGTGGCCATTATTCCTGGTTATGCCAGGGGGCACTAGGGGAAACAAGGTCTCTCCCAAACCCTTCTGGTCCCCCCTAGTGAGTTTATACATATTCACTGGGTCCCCCCTCAGCCTTCTCTTG